TATATATATATATATATATATATATTTACAACATTATTTTAGGGAATATTAGAGAATTTAGAGACTAGAAACATGATCAAAGATTCTGTATGCAGCATCTGGCCTCTGCTTTTTATTGGCTTAATTCAGTAGCGAATTAAGGAATTCACAGGTTTTTGAGGAAAATTCCAAAAGAAAATTCAAAATTACCTTCAAGCAATAGAGTAGTAGTAACAGTAACTAGAAGAAAGGAATAAGAATTTTACCTTATGTGTATCATGCTTTGAGCTCCCTGGAACTTTCTTAAAAAGAATTTAATTTTAATTCTGAGATCCTTCAGTGCTCTTCTAGAAGGCAGGGGATGATAAGAATTAAACTAGCAAATGAGGTAAATGATCTATCTATCATTCCTGCATATCAATGCACAAAATTCCTTTGAGTTACAATTATCTACACTAGAAATTTAAAGCATTTTTCCCTAGAGCCAAGTCATAAAATACACTTTCATAGTGTCACAGAAAATACTTGCAGACTATGGAAATATTAATCCAGTTAAAAGTACATGCCAACTATGGAAATATTAATCCAGTTAAAAGTACATGCCAACTAATAATACATGCTTTCTGCATAAATAATATAGCCAAATTAGTTCTATGAAACACATTCAGAAGTACATAAAAAGTTCAACTACAAATGCATTTCATTCTCATATATATTCCTTTATTTATCTGGCTTAATTTTATAAAATCATCATTTCTAATTTCTATCTAACATCATGACTTTTTCACTGCAATTACTAACACCATATTCATTTCACATTCATTAAGTTACCTATTTTCTAATTTGAAAACAGTTCAACTACTCTTGAACTGTCTTTGAATTCAAAAACTTAAAATAATTTTTAAAAACTGCTTTTATTAACTTGATATGAGAAATGATCTTTCTGGACAAAATTGCTGCCAATCAAGCCCCTGTTCTTAAATGTTGACAAACATTTCATATATTCACAAGCCATAATTACTGTCATTGTAACTTACAGATTGACTCAGTGCATTGATATAAAAATTGCAATGAAGTTAAAAGTTAATTAGCTAACTTATAAAAATCTAACAGTATTCCAATTACCATAGTCACAACAAACTTTGCTAGAATTGTTACTATCTTAAACACTTTAAACACAAACTGTCACAATTTGTTAAAAATTAACTTCCTTCTCAAAGCTTCAAACTGGATCCTATTTGACTCCTATTAGAGAAAACAGAAACTTTAAATCCCTTTACAATTATTCTAATAGATTTCCTAGAAAGCTTTGCCCTAGTAGAGAAAGTAGTAAAAATTACAGAGCAGTTGGGGGATAGGGGATGGACATTTTTAGCCATGGAGCCTCTGCCCTGAACTTTCCCTTCTGTGACAAAAGCCACAAAATCAGACACTAACTCAGCTCCCTGTCAGCACTGTGGTGTGGCACTCATCTTCTTACCCCTCGCATGCACAGAGAGAAGAATGAGCAAGGAAATGTGAAGCTGCCAGTTTGGTTCTTCAGGCCAACCCACTGCAGCAGGAGAGCAGTCACTGTGACCTGCCTGCTTATGCCTCCTGTTCCTTGCTTGGCCTTCTCTCACTGAGACTCCTCTGCTGCCACTCTTGTCAGATCTTCCAGCAAGTCTGCCAGCAAGCCTGCCAGCAAGCCTGAGACAGGACCCTGAAAGACAAGCCTGTTACAAACTGGTTCTGTCACCACCGAGAATTCAACTGATCACCTCGTGGGGAGGACAACAAAAGGCGGTGAGGACCCCCGAGCTGGATTGTTTTCCTAAGAAAAGAGCCTGACCCAGCTGCCCACACAAGGGCCAACGCACGAGGGGGCCTCACCCTGCACTAGCAACACCCTGGTCCACCAAATCTCTTGAGCAGCGAGGAGGGAATCCACAGCAGACCACACTTACACTTTATTGTCAGAAAAGAGCTTGTTTCTTCCTATTTTTTTTTTCCTCAGCAGAGAATTGTAACAGAAATGCAGAAAGGAGAATTTTTTTTTTCCTTTTGATGAAATGACAAATAGTGCAACACATCAAAGTGTCATGTTTCAGCAGCTTTTATCCTCATCAACATTTAAATAATGAAGCAAATACTGTTGAATTGAGTGCACAGATAATAATAAAAGGTCAGCTGTAAGACATCACTGATGAGCACTGCAAGTTAACATATTTCAGAATTATGCTTCTCACTTATCAATTAATTCTAAGTAATAACAGTTTTAAGTTACCTGAATAGAAAACAAACTGTTGAGGATCTAATCAATCTTATATAATAAAACCAATATAAGTTATTCAACTTTTTAGATTTCGACTGTAACTATGTTTCAATGAAAACTGTCAACGTTTTTGGAAGGTTTTATTTTCCTTAATGTTAAATAATTCTTTTCAACATTAAGGGTCTTTAAAAAAATATTCTTTTCTTTTACTCTGAGGACTTCCAATATAAGGAGAACAAGAACTGTAATTAAATTGTGGTACGTGTGAAAACTACAACACAGATACAAAAGAAATAATTATTAAACCTCATCAGCTTGCCTGATACAGGATTTATGGATATAGAAGCAGAAATATTTCAATGATTATATCTAAGAAATCATGATGATATGTTTGATACTTTTGGAATTATTTTCTTGAGGAAAAATATCTCCACTCTCTTCTCACTTTTAAAAGAGACCCCCCCACACACACACACACCTCCACCTAACCTTGTACTCCTAGGCACTACACTACAAGGGACATTCAAATCACCCTTCACCTTAGGGAGCCCCCAAATTATTTTTTCTGATATTACAAATACTGCAATCAATCCAACACTATTTCAATTTACACTTTCATAAGACAAAATTTAACAGAAATATGGTATTTTTAGTCACCTATGAAATCTTTGAATATTCAGAATGTAATAAAGCATGCATTTTGCAGAAGCCATGCAACCTATTTGTTGGGAAAATGGCAGTTGGGAGTACCGAAAAGGGGTTGTCTTTCAGTGTCATTTATGAGTATCCCTATTTGATAGGAGATTTTGGAATAGTAAAATAAATGGTGACAATCAGGAGAGGTAGGTGATAAGTGGGGAAAAAGATAAAAATCAAACAACTGAATTTGTTCAAATCTCTGTCTGGCTCAGAGCCACATTCACAACATGGTTCCACAGACAGTTTGGAAACAAGCATTGAGTGTTAGCGCAAGGAGTGAATGGCTGACATGTGGGACAGCTCCCACTGCTCCCACGTCCTCAATATGGATATCTATAAATGGTTCAAAGCATAGAGAATCTTACTCTCCCCCCAGAATCCCAATTCAGTTCAAACCAACTTATGTCAACAACTTGTTCTGATTTTTAACTGTTTGCTAGCTTAAGCAGATGCACTCAAGAAACATAAAACATCACAGGGAAAAAAATCATATAGTAATTAAGAAAAAAAGCTACATCTTTTAAGATGAAGTACCTCCAAAAGGAACATACATGGACATTCAGAGTAGGGGACAGATGAGCCTAGGCCAAACACTGAAGGGAAAGCTGGCTGCTGAAAGATGTATTGAACAACGTATACAGCAGCACAGAAGGTGAAGAAGGAGAAATGAGCAAGATTTAGATGTAAGAATAAATATTTCATTAGTGCAACAGCACGAGAAGAAAAACCTTACTGGAACAGACAGCTCCTATTTGTAAGTTGGAAAGAAAGCTAGACAGAGTGGAACCAGATTGTGCAGGACTCTGAATACAGGTTACAGAGTTGAGACTATATAATAAACAAGTAACTAAAGGCTTTTGAGAAACTGACTGGCTTAATGAATTAAAATTTAAAAAAAAAGGTTCAAAACTTCAGAATGTAGCATAAATCTCTGAACACAATTTCTAACTGAATAGGGAGAAATGAAGATTAGATAAAAACTTTAAGGAGAGGTTTCTACTCCATCAATTTTTTTTTCACTAATATAGATTTCTTTCTTGGAAGAAATTCAAGATGTACCCCTATTGTTTTTTTCCCTCTATTGTTTGGTGGGTGCTGATCATAAAGTAGATATTCTTTTAAAATGCATACAATAATCAAGTCTCAAAAACCCTAACAAATCTCTTGTTGTGTTTATCAGAAAGCTGGCCAGACATGCATTCCAGATTTGCACAGGATTTAATCCACTCACCCTACTGTATACCATTTTAGCCACAGTTAATGTTTCCATTTCTAAAATCCAATCTAATTAGTCATCTAAGTGTACCAGATCAATAATTGCAGTTAAATCTGCACCCTGATTTCCTAAGAGTAGAGCTGACTTCTATACCTAGAGCCAACACTGCAGGGGTTGTGTACCTGCTGGTGAACTGTCACCCTTGCCTCCCTGAACTGCCCAACATTTTCTATTCCAATGAATCGTGTTTTATCTATAAGCAGAAATACAGGAAAGGGGAACAGCATGCCTAAGCCTGAGGTGTTCTTCAGCTTTTAACACAGCTAACTTAATTCTACAAGTTAATTTACACACTAAGTGAGGCCTCAACGAAAGCTCTAAGAGAAAATTTTAAAAAAAGGTCTTACTTTGAAAATGCAAACCTGAGAGAAAAGCAAGAAGAGGAAAAAGGTGCAGTATGAAGATCACAGAATATGGGTAGGACACGTCATCCGCTGCTTATTATTTTTATCAAAATATGTCTTTAAGTTTTAAGAGAATTCAAATTATATTCAAATTTAAAAGTATCTTTTAGCCAATTTATTCTTACTTAATTCATTGAATTTTCATGCATTTGGAGAAGTATACTCATCATTTTAAAACGAGACTATCTTGTTACCAATTTCAATTTGCGACTTTTTCACATAGAAATCACTCAAACCTCCTGGTTTTATGTATATGTAGTTTTTTACTCTCTCACAAACATTCACATTTTGCTACATTTGGGGGGACTGGGTCTAATGAATGAGATGTTAGGACATTTTCTAAAACCACAGCCAGCACGTGGTTTTAGAAAAAAAAAGCTTACCTTGTCATGGGTAAAGACACATATAGGCAAACAAACAGTGACAATGCAGTCAAGTGTCTGCCCCCTGTGCTGAAGGAACAGGAAAGTATGGCAGGGATTAATTCTGTCCAAGGGTGGGGGCTGAACTCGCTGGGAGAGGCAGTTGAGCCAGCTCTTCAAAGATAAGTAGGTGAAGGGAGGGCCAAGAAATACTACACATAAGAAAAGCCAGCACAGACATTTATGAGTAGGGGACATGAGAAACTGGATCCGTCTACAGAGCAGGAACTAGGCTGGAGGAGCAGACTGGGAGCAGTTGGAGAGGACTCGCACCCGATTAAGTATAAGTTCTGGTTTTATCCTACAGACATGGGAAAGCAATTCCTTGTTTCTGGAGGCATCTATATAGGTTATGTTCTATTGTATAAACTGACTGCTGCAAGGACTACTTCTTGCAGCTGAATTTAAACAGTAAAGTTTTAGGAATAATATGAAAATATTTTCCTTTTTACACAGGAAAACCAACAAAATTCTTAATTTTCCTTAATAGGAAACAATAAGTTATTCTCTTTGTTACTTGCACATCCCTCACATCCCTGCTAATATTGTTTGGAATAAAATCAACTTTTAATTAAACTTCTGTTCAAATAAAAAGGCATTAAACACAATAGTTACTGCCTTCTTCCTATTGAAAGTTATAGCATTTTCAGTCTTCACCATTCCACGGTCTTGCACTAAAATACTTTTCAAACTTTCATGTGTTGTACTGAAAACAGAACACAGCAATCAGAATTCTACTGGTAATTTATATTGTTATTCTGATTTTCAACTAACCACTGACATTTAAAAAACAAAATAAAAACCCTTACATTATTATGAGGGCAAAAAGGAAAAAAAAAAACAATAGAATTCAAGATATAAAAACTTTCCCCCTGACTTTGGAGTTTATAAAGACCACAACTTCTGTCTGCTTTCAGTCTGCCTCCTGCCTCCCAACCCTGGTCTAATTTGCAGCATTCCACATCACTAGTCATTAACAACCCAGAGCTCCCCTCAGCTGCACAGTGAAAGACCATCACATCATTACAAATAAACAATCCCTTCCTCCCGTGAAAGGGTGACACATTATTCTGAGCACGTCTCCTCTCCGCTTTCATTGCTCTGCCAAGGTCCCCCATGAGTGGGAAGGGGTAAAAAGAGAGACAAAATATCCCACAACTTGTCTAAAGCATGTAGAGGATGATTTGTGTCCTTACTTACGGGATATGACTGTCACTGCTGATCTGCTTTCAGGCCTAGATTACATGTGATAAGGGCTGACCTTCCTTAAGTATTCACACATTATGCACTCATGGAGAGCAAGCAGGACACAAAAGTCCTTCAGATGTTCTGGACATCAATCAAGTGCACAGCATGGAGCCTGCCAAACTTTTCTTCCCTTTACTCAGGGATAAGAAGGGGGAGTCCAAGGCAGACTTAATAAAGTTTAAAGCAATGCCACAGTATATTTGGGGAGACCATTGTTATTAAAAGGGTGCCTTTAAAAAAATTCTCTAGAGTTACCACTAGCAACAAAAAAATTCACACACAAATAGAGAATCAGATTTCATTCCAGCTTTAAAATTTCAAAACTATAACTATAAACTAAATCTCAGTTTGCTG